GACCTCATCTTCTCCTTCCTCTTGGTACTGCTCATCAAGGTTGTCCTCCTGCTGATCAGGGTTTCCAACCATCTGTGCCAATCAGACCACGACACAGTCAATACAGCCTTCTGGGGCCCGGGGCCCAGCCTTCCTCCCCCCCGGGGCCCAAACAGCCGCCCCCTACCTGCTGCTGCTGTCCTGCCTCCTCCAGCTCATCTTCACCCTGGTTGTTCGGGTCGTCCTCTGGGTTCAGATCCTCAGCCGGGCTCTAGGATGAGTACTGACTGGTGTAAGACCAACTTTCCTGACAATAAGAGCAAAACCTAACATAAAATTTCAGGAGTGCAGAGCTGGAGGAGTGTTCAGACCTGGTGATGATGCTCCTGGTCCTCCTCATTCACGTCCTTCTGGTGGAGAGCCTGGGTGTCCGTCTCTGCAACACAGAAAAACGATCACACACACACACGTAGGGTAAACACATGCTTATGCTCATTCATTTCTATGGGAAAAATGCTAATGCTATCTATGACAACCTTAACCCCTACCCAGCCCTAACCATAAGTCATTGCAGACACAGAGTTTTATAAAATATAGTTTTCCCATATGGGGACAAGGAAACTGGTCCCCATAAGGTAAAAAAAAGAACAGGTATTCATCACGTTGTGGGGACATGTGGTCCCCACAAGTTAAGATATACCTGGACCACACACACACCCACACACACACACACACACACACGCCAGATCCCTTAGGAACACAATGCATGCATATAAACTTTTCTAATTATTAGAAAAGTATATTTAATTTTAATATGTAAGAAATTGCTGACACATTTCACTTCAAGGTCCAAGGTCGGGCCGTACCTCGCTCTGCCCCATCGTGCGGTTCCTCTTCATCCCGACCCACATCTGTGTCCATGTTCTCGTACTGACTTCTGCGCCTGAGTGTCACAGATTACAAACATGCTCTCAGGAAGTGGAAACAGTCACTGCATAAACTGGCTCGAAATACACAGAATCGCCGCCTTGACGCGCCTCCTCCGTGAGTCTCGACTTCTGACCTCAGGTGCTCCTCCTGCAGCAGCTTCTCCCTGCGGTCGGCCTGACGGTGCTGCTCCTCCTCCTGCTCCCGCAGCTGCCGCACATGCCGCTCCCGCTCCGCCTGCTCGCGCAGCTGCTGCTGGTGCAGGGCCTCCTGGCGCAGTTGCAGCTGCCTGCGCTCCGCATCCTGCTGCGCGGCCAGACGTTGCTGCTCCAGCTGCGCTTCGTAGGCAGACTTGACCCGCCCCTGGGCCGGAGCCGGGCCATGCTCCTGCAATGCACCGCAACTGATATTCAACACTGATCACGTGATCACGAAGCTCATTACATCACCAGCTTCTGATTGGCTGACTTCAGGAGGTAGTTTTGTTTCTGCTGGGACTACTTACCGCCATTTCCTGGTGCAGACCGTGCTCGTGGTCAAGAGCGTTTTCGTCTGGCTGGTTGGGTTGTGCCCTCTCCTCCATTCCCTCCTCGTCCTCCTCTTCCTGGGGCTGCCCCACTTGTGCCATCTCCTCCTCCGCCAGCTCTGTCCGCCGTTCCTCCTGAGGTTTCTCCTCCCGGGGGTCCTGCGGCTGCGGCTGCTACAGAAACCGCACGTCAGCGACACCTGGCGACAGGACAAGCCGGCCGCAGCCCCGCAATCCCTACCTCTAGCTTTGCATCCATCGCCCTGTGGGCCTGGAGCTCCCCCTTGTGGTCGAACAGGCTCTTGGACGCCGTGGCTGGGGTCGGTTGGTTCGCCTGCTGCGGGCCGAGCGGCCGATTCTGAGATAGCTTTAGCCTCTTCAGCTCCTCCACTTGGTACTTAATGACAGAGAAACGCAACAAAACCATGAGCGATCAACAGCATCTTGAAAAGATCCACACTCGATGTTTGGGATGCAGCCCTAAACGAAAAAGATACTTGACACTCTACACTCCTGGGCAAAAAATGGCTTAAAGCTTAAAGACTGTGCAATTTGGGTTTGGCCCATTTTTTGCCTAGAAGTTAAAGGTCTGATACATCTCACACGAGACACTGCATTCTACAGGTCAAGGGTGGAAGGAGACATACCACCACCAGCAAGAGGAGCAGGGTTAGATAGGTGATCTCTGAACGGGCAAACAGAGGAGGGTTAAATCAGGGACAGCGGAGAGGGTTAGTAGCGGGTTCTTCGGAATCAGGCAGGTATGACAGCTAATCACATCCCCATCCAGGCTGAGGTTACAGGGTCAGAGGTCGTGGGTCAACATACTGGGGGCGACCGCATGCATGCAGAGCAAACTGTGGTAGCCTAAGGATGAGAGAACACAGATTAAGTCCAATCCCTTCTTGGTCACATGGTCTGCACCCAGACGCCACCCTCCTGACCACAGGCCGGAGCTGGCAAACGAGTGGCAGTCCCAGTAACAGTCTGACTACATGAGACTGGTCACTTCCTCAGACCAAAATATTTAGCATTCTCTCTGCATGTCCCACAGGCCTGCCGATTGCTCACAAAATTATGGATGCACTTCCATGAGGGCACCACAGGAGGTGCTAGAGTGTTGCATCATAAACACACAAGACATGAATCTTTACTAAATTAGCCTAAAACTGGAGGTCTGCAGGTGCATCTTCTACTGTTTCCCAAAAAATGTTTACGTGCAGACTGTCCAATTAGGCACGGAGGAGGCGGTATTCAGTAAGTGGGGGGGGGGGCAACAGCAGGGGCAGGGGGGGTGTAAGCAAGCTAAACCTGAGCTTCCCACCAAAGACAGTGAAGTCACATTCAAACCAGGTCCCCCCCCCTCCCCCGCCCTCAGTGAACAAAGTCAGCCTTTGTGCTCCATCATTAAAATGCGGCATGCAAGTCATGCACCGACACTCGGGGGGGGGGAGGCAGAGCGCCCCCTGTAGACCACCCTGCCGTCGCGCTCTGACCTGTGCAGCAGCCAGTGCATTCTTGTGGTCTTCTAGTGTCAGTGCGAGTTGGTCATGAGAGGACTTTAAATTCTTCTGTTGATGCTACATTGGACATTTTGCAAATGGAGTATTGATCACACAATTCTCCCAGCAGACTTTCTTGACATGCTTCTCCAGTCGGTTTAGAGTTTTTCATTCCCACCCAGAGCTGAACTGTAACAACTAGCATGACTTCATCTCCCTTCCATTAATGGAACATTCATTAAACATAGCAATTTTCACTATATGAAAAAGTAGACAGAAAAATATTACATAATGTTGTTATCCGCTATTTTACATTGAATGCGCACCCAACGTAATTATCTGGCCAGTAAGCCACAAGTATCTGTGGCCCCGCCCCATTTCCCAGAAGCCTCTGGGGCCAGCCCTCACCCGGGCATCCTGCAGCTGTATGTGAACGTCCTGATGGGCCTTCCTCAGCTGCTTGTTCTCCTCTCTGAGGTTATACACATTTTCTGTTACAGGAAATGAAAAGGAGATGCTCAGGGTGGACTTGGGAGGAACACCTGCCGTTTCCGCATCCAAAATCATTTTCCTGCAGCACTGTGACCTAAGAACAACTAAGCAAGTTGTGTTTCACGTCACTGAATTGGGTCCATGCTCATTCCACTGCAGTCACCGATGGCCATCACAACAGCGCCTCTAATGAGCGAGAAGGTCCCCGAGAGTCACCTTTGAGCCTGGAGATCTCCAGCTCCTTGGTCTGCTGAAGATTGTCATATTTCTGCCTGTGATCCTCCAGGACCTTGCCATGGTCATCACTCTGGACCTGGTGTTTCTCCTGAAGCTCGAAGAACTGCTTCTTTATGTCGTCGTGTTGGTTCTGGAAAAGAAGGTTAAGAGTTGCATGGAAGATTAAGGTCTAGAGGGTTAAACCGAACACACACAACCAAACCTCCCAAAAATCACAGAAAAGTTTAGAGGTACCAGCGCATTATAAAAGGCTTCCGAGCTCCTCGGAGTGGCGAGGAGAACCACAGCCAGCCCCTGACAAACTGCATGGGAGCAGATGGAGCCCTACATACAGCGACACCTCCTGCTGCCGGTCACGGGGCAGGGACAGGTGGACGAGTGCATGCAGTGAGGACAGCCCATAATTAGCACCATGGTGGATCAGCAGCATATTACACAAATTGCCATGTCAACAACAACCGTAAAATCTCCTTACTTCATTTACTAATACTGAGACATGACTTTTTTTCCCCTCTTTCCTATCGTGTCCTTGGAAGATGCTACTGATTGGTTTTACTTTCACAGGATGACAGGCAGGACAGCTGACAGGCCCCCCCTCCCCCCCCCCTTCTTCCAAGCATCCTGATTGGACAATCATCCTGTCTGTCATAAGACTAACTTCGTTACAGAGACAGGCCAGTTACACTGACCTCAATTTGTTCTGGATTATGGTAACTCCACCCCCCCCCCAGGTCATTGTGCACATGGAAATGGGTGTCCTGTGTGCAGCTGGTGTTATGACTGCACATCACCAGGAGGGGGTTGTGGGGGTCAGGGCTGAATGCAGCCAAAATCACAAACTCAGCATCTCTTATTTGTGCCCCCCCCTGCTCACCTTCAACATCTGGTGTTGCACATGCAAGGAGTGAAACCTGGTGCCGGCATCTTGCTGTTTAAAAAACAGACAAAGAAATACAGTGTAACATATTTCACCATTAATGGGTTTTCAACATGCAGAAAGGTCCCAGGAACCCCCCCTCCCCCACCACCCTGATAGACAGTTATCAATTAATTAGAGTTTTGATGGGATGGGGGTGCATTTTCGAAATTCAGAATCTGAACAGTGGGAAGATGGGTGACCAATGAAGACGAAGTATCAATATGCATTTAATAGAAACACCATGAAGGAAAGGAGTTAGCAGTTAGCTTACCTTCTCTTTGTTCAGGGTTTGCTGAGATTCAAGTTTGTACACAAGATAATCTTTAAAAACAAAATTAAAAAGGTATTAGAATAGCAAATAAAAGGTTGATCTGGTTACCAGTAAGCCCAGCTGGTCAGAGAGGTCATTAGCAGTGGCAGTGTGAGCCTTAGGGGTTAGAAGGTAAACAGGAAGGCAGTGAGGGACCAGCAGGGGGCGTCAGACTCCCACCTTCTTTGGCCTTCTTGTGCTCCAAGCGCTCCTTCTGCAGGGACTTCTCCAGCCGGGACCGGTGCTCATACACCACTGCGGAGGGAGAGAGACAGAGGCCGTGAATCCGCGGCCCTCGCACACCAGCGGGAGGCAGGGGTGCGTCCCTGCTTGCGTTGCCCTCCCCCATCACCATGGCGGTACCCTCCCTCTCTCCTGGGAGGGCCAACTTTAGAGGAAATGAGGCCCCATGGACGCTGGAGATGAACACGTCCCACAAGGAGTCAGATCCGCCAAGAGCAACCCGGCGCAGGCCTCATTCCGAATATGAAATCGGATGTTTTCTTCCAATGCCCACAAAGGCTGCCTGCCCCCCCCCCCCCGAGTCATAGGCATCCAACCATGTGACAGCAAAGGCACGCGCCCAGTGGGCACTGATGAAGTCGTCATTTCCAAAGGCGGAGGCCCAGACCACACTCTATGGCTCTGACGTCACCCACAGTACCTGCAGGTGCAGCTTCTTTGTCTAAGTCTGGTTGTTCCCCAGCCCAGTCCTTCAACTCATCGCCAATCCTCGTGCGTGATGACGTCACCTCCCCATCCAGCAGTGCCAGTCCTGAGCAGGCCGGCAATTTGGCCAGTCCCCAAGAGGCACACGATGTCCCCCACGACTAAGAGCCCTGGTCAGTGTAAAAGCCCCTCCAAGCCCCCTGCCAAATAGCTGGATGATGTCATATGACCTGACCCTGTCCACTCCTCCCAAGATGTTAATCTGAGAATTTTAATTCCAGCTATTATGAGCCCATGATTATCCTTCACAGTAACAGGCGGCAGGAAGCAGCATCAGTCACACCCCCGAGAACCAACACACCAAACAGGAAATGCATCTTCCCACTCACCACCAGCCCCAGCCCCCATATCCCCACCTCCAGGGGGCCACCCACAGCAGAAAGATCGCAGTCCACGTCAAGGACTGCCAAGTTCCCAGGCAGGCATGACTAATCCCTGCCAGAGTGCCTGCCCAGAAGATCCATCAAAATGCAGGTGATGAGAAGGGGAAGGAAAACCACCTAGAAATGGTTTGCACTGGGAAACGCTAGTCAGATACCCATGCACTGTTACTGCTTTACATAGATAGTGAAAAAAGAGCAGCACTAACTTCTGGTCAAGCACAAACCACGGGTGAGTTAGCTTCATGGAAGCAGCTTTGTTGAGAGACTGGCCACCAGGCTGAGGGGTCCATACCTCCCCGAGTTTCTGAAGTCATGGCTCCTTTGGAAAGAGTCACTTTATTTCCTTGGTCTTGTAGGCACGTTGAACACGGCTCCACGTTCCCACATGAGCAACACCCAGAAGATGAAAGCGGACACTCCAATGAAACTAGCATCACTCAGACAATCCCTTCCGAAAGACACTGCGCCCTTTACATCATTCGTCTGACATAGTCTGTGTGTACTCTGAGCTGCCACTAGGGGGACACAAACCCACCGCTGCACCAGCCTTACCGGGTGTTCCACGGCCATTAAAGCACTGGCTTCCCCAATCCCGCCGCATGCAGGTGCAGACGACGTGACTGCGGATCCCAAAAATGCACGGAAGCAGCCTGAGATCGGAGGGGGACCGTTACATACGGATCCTGTAGATTCATCATTCTACAGCCCGGAATCTCGGACGGGGAGACGTGCATCTGTCTCACGAGGATGAGTCACTGACGGGACAATGTGATGTGGGATTCATGTGCACCCCCCACAAATTTTAGATCGACAAACCCCTCCACTTGCAGTTCATTTTCAGTTCGGAAGACAAGGCTTTCCCACGGCACAGGGCAGAATTGAATAATTAACAGAGAAACAACCGATGCAGTGATGCATAACGAACAGGGTGGGTGGATTCTGTTCGAAAAGAGTGACGGAGGGAGCCGGATGAATATATCCAAGCATCCAAGGGGTAACAGATAACAGGAACCTGCAGCTTTAACCCACAAAATAAGCTGAACACGCTTATTAATGATCCACTAGTTACCAAAAACAAAAACGGCAGCGGACAGAAAGTCCAGATCTGTCAGGGTCTAAGGTCATTTTACAGTCTGCTTTTGTCTCTGTCAAGGGCCAACAGCCAAAAATACGCAGAAATACTTGATGCATTTTAATCTGTCTGTACTGTCTCTCTGGGTGCATTATATTGCAACCTCAAGATTAGGATAGAGCAGCTGAGTGTATATATAAAATGCAAGGAATGCAGAAAGAATGAATCTGGAAAATCAGGAACTAGTGTGTGTGTGGGGGGGGGTGTCTGTGTGTCAAAGGGGCTGTGACCATGTGATTGGAGGGGGGACACAGAAGTTGCGGAAGGGCGACATCCCCTTTTCAGTGCCATAGGGGTCGGGGCTCCGGCGGCACACCTTCCTCTGCCCATGCTGACCCGAGCTCTGCCAGTCAGGGGAGCCACGTCTGATGGGTAGCTCCCTCAAAGCAGGTCCTCGTACCACTGCCACATCCAGCTCAGGTGTCTCCAGGGGGTAAATAATACAGCTTGGCGTTGCCATCGGGCGGAGGGAAAGGGCAGCCAATGGGACAGCCAGTGTCGGTTACCTGCCTTGGTGATCTCCAGCCTCAAAAAGTCCAGGATAACAGCTATCCTGTGGTCCCGCCAGCCAAGGGAACCAAAAAGTAGGTGTCCCTGGTCCCAGCACCACTGCTGCAAGGCTACTAAACCCAAGAACCTAAGAGATACCAGGGAATAGCCCTGCACTTGATGACATCACACATCAATAGCCAGCAGAAGGGCGGTCGAAGGTCCTCAGGAAGCCCAACTGCAGCTGAAGACCAGTTAAATTCTTTATGATGAAAACGGCAAGTTTAAAATGGAAACACAGCATCTTGCCATTGTTTGGTGAAGTAGGGGCAGGCGCCCTGAGCCTACAGCCCAAGCCGAAAAAGCAGCTGGTGACGTAAAGGACAAGCACCCTTTTATTTTCTCCAGCAATGCAGACCTATCTCTATTACAAGAGAGCAACAAAAACAGCTGTGAACTGGAAACCCATAGACTTAGTGAAGCAATACAGAATACTTCCAAAGAAGGAAAAGGACATTCTTTGCAACTAAAGTAATGCTGTTTAACCCGCAAACAGGGAAAGCTCGTTTGGAACTGGTATAGGGCACAACAGCGACGAATCTTGAAAATATGTTTGATCTACAGTTGTTGACTTTTTGTGTATTCAGTGGATTAACAGAAGTAGGTGAGAGCACCAAACTATTCATTACGCCTACGATAGACAGAATGGGGAGAAACTGTTCTGGATGCGCCGATTTAAAAAGGAATAGGACGGCAGTACAGAACGTGACATCAAGTCTGATATACATTTCATAGTTATCATTTCCCTTAACTGGAAAGTTACGTGGCATCACCAGGCATTACACAAACTTTATTTGTATCCCCGCAGACCGTCCCGAGCAATGATCCTCCACTTCATCCACTTGCCTAATCCCACAGAATCAGAGAGAGCCGCCTGCGGTCTATCGGTCCCTCCTGCGCGTCTCCTCTCTTTATTTCTGCATGGCTACTGTCTCTGGGGCTCAAATATCGTCTGGCACTTAGATTTACGGCGACCGAGCAGACACCACATTGCACACGGGGCAAGGTAATAAAATCAAAGCAATTAAAAGAAGTTAGGCGCCCAGACGGGAAAAGTCAACAACTCGGTTTCTACAGATGAAGAGTCCAAACTGAGTCGCAAAATGCATAAAAAGTATTAAAGTGATTTTGATAGGAGACATTTATATATTGAATGGACTTGTTTACCTTGCAGCTGAGCCGACAGAGACTCCTGGTGCTGCTGGTACTTGATCGCCAGCACCTCGGTCCGTTTCAGCTGCTTGTGCAGCTCGTAGGAGAACATGCCCCCGTAAATGACGCCGAAGACCACGGTGAGAAGCAGCAGGGACTGGAAGACCCGCTTCTGCCTTCTAGAGCACACTCCGTTTCCCATCCTCCCGAGCAGGCAGCCCCCAAACCTCCGCCGAAACTTAACAAGCCAAATCACAAACTTCCCCCCCCGCCCCGCCTCCCTACCTTTTTTGGGGTTTGTCCTTTTTAATTTTCCTCCTGCATAACTAAAACCGTCACCAAGGGATCAAGTTAAATCGTTGCAGCGTAAACACTCTCCATCGATCAACTTATTCATGCAAGAAGCCTAACATCTGTAATTATTGCTACTTGCAGAACTATGTTGCCAAGTTTGTCCCGTCTTTTTTCTTTCTTCTTTATTTGTTCCCCGTTTGGAGGAAACTCGCAGGACAGACTTCAGAAACGCTAAACTTTCACTTTCCGAAGTTGAATAGATGGAAGAGCCGATTTAGCCAGCGAAAGCCAAAGGCAACACGCAGGAGGCTTTTTTTCTAAAAGTGTCAGCGGGAGCAGCGCGGCCTAAACGGTGCCTTTAACTTTAGATACGTGTCACCTACAGGCTTCGGCCATCCAACAGCAGCCCTGCAGGAAGTCCCGCCCCCTAGAACACTTCTTGGATACGGCCACGCCCATAGCGACTGTCCGACTTTCCCATTGGCGCTGGACTTATCAATCAAACGGCCATTCACTCCTCCTGTTTGTCTTGGGCATTCCTCTAAAAAGGGGGCCGATTGTCGCTTCTGTCGGTTTCCTGGGCTTTAATCTCACTTTTAAGCTAAAACGTATCGGCTGGGACCAAAGGAGAAACCGAACACCAGACCGATCCCTCCAGGGCTGCCTTCACCCGCTGCAGCTCTAACGCTGATCAAATCATGCTCTGTAAGAGACATACTTTATCTGGACTGGCCGTCCAGTCACTGCACTTCAGCCGGTAATAAGATATTAAACTGAATTGCACACTGACCCTCAACAGATTTATCCGGTTTAAAAAATGTCAGTGACCCACTTTATTTATGCCACATTCTAAAGTAAGAGACCCTAGAGATACAGAAACCCTGGAGGTATGTGTGTATCACTAGTAAAAGGAAAAATAAATCAGATTACAAAAGTCTTTCAATATTGCACTTTATTTAAACACCAAAATAAACTTATTTCAGCAAAAGTGTGGAGTACAATTATAATAGAACTGACTGTTCCATCAAAAAGGGGTTTAAAATAAGTGTCACAATAACTGATGCACAGTTAAAACAATTATACATGGTTCAAATTACTCGGTACAAATGAAATACAGTATCACTGTTCAGTGAATGTATAGACAGATTGAAATTTCCTAGAATACAAATATTGTTCTCACAATGTTTTTGTTTTAACAGAAGAGAATAACATTAATGTTCAAAATATTATACAAAAATCAATTTGACTAAACCAATCCAAGAAAAATGGAGCAATCCAGTGAACCAGCAGGATTCAGCAAAGGTGACTTGTCCTTCTGCACAAACATTGTTTTGAATGTCAACCATTAAGCATTGTCTTTGCATGTAACATGTTGCATGGGGCCTGGACCAAGGGCATATTTCATAAAAGCTTCTTTAAGATCAATATGTATTCTGTCTGTATTGTTGCATCCTATCCGGTTTTATTAAAAATGAACATCCTCTAATAAAGAACAAAGATCATAATTGTTCAGACAATGGTATATTCCAGGGCTCTTTGTGGATGACAAAGATGACGATAATGAAGCAGGAGAGGAAGCATACAGATGTCTTTGAACTCTGGTGCTGGCAAAGACTAGCCTGAAGACCGAAGCTTATCTTTTTTGGGGAACATTGTAAAACTCACTGTGTTGGGAAGAAAAACCATAAAGCTTGATACAATGTTTCAGAGGAAGACCAGTGACAAGATGAGTGGATTCAATCAACACATGCCACTGCAAGCCTTAAGACATAAACAGAAGACAGAAAGTTCTAGAGGAAAGCTGGAATCATGAATTGAGAATAAAGTATAGAAGTTAATGCAAAAACATTTAATAACAACACGCTGGTGTGACACACTTTTACATACCAGTTTTACAGTTTTAGTAAAAGACAGGAGTGTGTAAAATTGCATTCAGAGCCCTGAAATCTTTGACCTGAGAGTTACGGTCCGAGACGATGGCCAATGTCGAAGATGAGTGCCACGGACCTCAACACCACGGGGAGTTGACAGCAGCAGAAGACTGAGGAAGTTTAACAACAAACCAGACTCTAAGGCTTTATGCATAAACACACACAGCTACCTAGACAGACACAGTGTACATAGGAACCAGGTACACAGACCATGTCGCCTCATCACAGGACTCCTTCAGCGGGAAGGGAGGCGACTGAGTCCCGCCATCTGCATGCGCCGTAAGCAGAGAGGAACCCTCATTCAGGCTAAAGATCCACCCACCACCCACAGCTGACAGCAGCCTGACGCTGAGACACCCTACCATACCGAACACATGACCTAAACATAGCTCAGCTAACAAAAACAGGCATTTTCACATTCCTACCTATGCGGGAGGTTCTGCCAATGATGCCACACTGTCAGTGTGAGCCGAGACGGCTGTTAGCTTTCTATGGGAGGGGCGGGCACCCGCCTAAGAACAGACTGATGGCTTGATAAAACACAGCTTTGTATATATATAAAAAAAAAAAATCAACTGAAGGCACTGAGAACTAAATTATAAGCGCATATTCATAAAGCCTTATTGCTGACCAGCCTACATTAGGCAGACAGCATCCATTTTAGGGAAAAAAAGAAAAAAACAATACATAACAATCCATATGGTTCTAAATGTATTTTCTATCTGCTAATTCCAACAGATTTATGTAATGGTTAAATTAACTTTTTGTTCTACATTTAGTACAGGGAAGTAGGATCCACAGAAAACTGATGAGACATTCTGGAGTCTGCCAGCCTCACAGCTCCTCGTTCTCAGAAAGCAGGGGCTCCACTTCCGGAAAGTTCTTCAGCCCCAGCTGGCTAGAACAACCGGAGCCCTTTTTTCTGTACAAAACAAACTGAATAGAAATCTTTAAAAAAAAAAAAAAAAAAAAATAGTTCAGGAAAACACACACACACACACAAGTGAAATCTGAAAACAACTTATTGTACATCCTTTCCCTGTTTAAACAGGGAACAGAAACGTTTCCCTCGTGGTGAACAAAAGGATACAAAAAGGTCGAGGAGGAGGACGCCAAGGCTGCCAATGAGCCAGGCCAGGTGGTTCAGGATGAAAGTGCTCTTGGATCGCTTCAAGGCCGGCAGGACCACGATCAGGCTCAGCCCGTATGTACAGTTCCCCATCATGGCCAAAGCGAACAGCAGGTAGGAGGTTCCCTCCGTCGACTGCCGCTTGTACTGAGGATGAGAACGTGGCCATACCGTCATGATCCAGGTGAGGGCATGTCCCCGAGGTGTAACACTATCCTGGATGACAACATCCTGCCCCAGTTTTTCAGCCATCGCTAAACAACGGACAGACTCCCAGGTGAGCCCAACCCACCCAACCCAACAAGCACATACGTTTTTGTGGATCTGTGGAATACGGGAGGAGAGGTAGAACACGGATGACAGGTAGCCGCAGGCGTAGCCGGACATTTCCAAGCTGTGTGAGGTCTTCTGTTCAGAGGTGGAGGAGAGACCAAGTCACCATTAGGAGGGATATTAGCGGAACAGGTGTTGGGAACACCCAGGAACACGGGCATACCTGCGACATTAACCAGCCAGCTCATAAGTCCTCAGTGATGGCGTAAACATTTGATGTAAGGTGGAGTTCCACAGTTCAGATCACGGGTCTGAGTTATACATTTATCAAGATTATCTGTCCCGAGACAAAGGAGAGAGACGAAACTCAGGTCCGGTCCGGCCTTACCCCTGCACCAGATCCTAAGCCGCTTTCATCCAGGATTTTGGGAAGCATCACGCACAAGGTGAAGGCACCTCCACACCACATGAAACACATCCACTTCAAGTGCGATTCTGGGAGAAGAGAGGAAGGCCTCGTCATTCCGTGGACATCTGCTGCATCAGTCACCCAGGAAGGCTCACCAGCCCCGCTGCGTCGCCCCAGATCAGGCGGCTCTCTTTTCGACCGCAGCACTGCTTTAAATTCCGCTGTCACCGTCACTGAAGGAGCAGCACTTGGGATTAAATTTATTTTTGCCTGGTATAAATCTCAGGCCTGGCACATTGCAAACACACCTCCTTGCAGAACAAACACTCTGTACGGATCTGTGCTTCACACAGATCCGTTCTCTGAAATTACACTCCCAATTTTCCTGCTACAAACACCTCCATATAGCGTCTGGAACACTGGTGCTGTGACAATGGCTATGCCTCACTTTAAAAAAAGAATTGCCAGGACATGACACTTAACAGTGAAAAAGGAAGAGGAAATCAAATTACTTCGCTTGCCATGATTCCTCTTGTTCTTTATCTTGTAATACACATACTGGGAGATCAGTATGATGTCCGTGAATATATAGAAAACTGCAGTCACAGTCTGGAAGGGAGAAACAATGTGTTATTAAACGTTACACATTTAACATTTATCTGATCAGGTAGCCTTTACAGTCAACAAAGTGTCAATGTTTTTACTGACAATTAACAAGCCACCTATGGTTTTATGACACAGCTCACATGCCTATGCAGGCACAGCAAACCATAAACCGGTATAGCCACAAACAAACACGGAGGTGACCTCAGGCATTGTGATTACTGCACCACCATTAATCGGCCAAACATGTACCTGAACGGGGAGCTGTCTGGTGAGATAGCAGCCCGCAAAATTACTGATGTCTCCACTAAGGATGAAGAGTAAGAAGCCCAGAGAGATGGCCTCCTCCACCCTGCCATTTCTATAGGATTCATACACCTGCCTGATGGATCATGATAAGGGAGAGAGAAACCCCAGCGATTAGATACCTTAGAAAACAGACAAAACCGTTTTTACATGTAACATCACTTGCTATAAAAGCCAATCCTTTGTGTGAAAAGAATGTCAAGGCAGCCACCCTTACGTAAACATAAAATGTACATTAAACTTTCAGGCAGTCCAGCAGGTTTTCACCTAAGTACCCATTCAAGAAATATGCAACATTGCAGAGACTCCTCCTTAACCATTAAAGAAATTAAATATGGAAAAAAACCTAAACGTGCTGGTCTTTCTCTTGGCCAAGTTCATGAGACTTACGGCAGAGTGGACAGCAGGAAGCATAACATGGAGATGAGGCCGATGACCACGCTACAGTATTCCCAAGCGCTGTCGGCACATTCTTCAAAAAGGTAACGGATCCAGGGTGTCCCGTTGACGCACGGCGGTTTGTCGAGAACAGAAGACAGGTTACTGGCCACGTCCGCAGAGGCCATGTCAGCCCCGAGGTCAGGCATCAGCTTATTTCAGGATAGATCCCCTTGACCGTACCCGCTTTGAATGCAACCACAAATACAGATGCGACTGCCATCTTGTCACTTCTGCAGAAAGTAGATAGATAGATAGAGATAGATAAAGTTTAAAGTCAATTTAATAAGCTGGCCACATTCGCATTACTACAGCGTATTTATGTATACCAGCATAATGAAAGATGGCTCCAGGTCAACATCCAGTGACAGTGGCAGTTCAAATGCGAAAGACTGGCAATACTTTTGCTTTGGGCGGTTTCGCATTACGGGAAAGACGTCACTCTCCTCCCTTTTGGTCGTGACCCGACTAGTGCGCAGGATGCTCCAGTGTGTGACTTCTCCAGGTTGGGCGCTATCTTGCACAAACAAAAACAGCCCGTTGGTGACAGACTGGGGCGTCTCCTTCTCACCTTACCGCGACACGCTGCTTCCGCGGACGGCGCGCGGCTGCCACGTCGCCATCCATCGTGTGCAGTGAGCCAACGGTTCTGTTCTGTACTTTGAAAGATCAGGCAAAAATAGTTTCAATTTAATCAACTGTGGAACGGTTGACACACCTATACGCCTCCGGCACAGGGAAGCATGGCAATGTAGTCCCGTCACTTCCGCTTTCCTTTCTGTGGGTAGTGTGGCCGAGAAAGGACAAACAGAACGCACATTGAGCCCACGGTAGCGCATGTATTAAATTAAATAAATTGCTAAAATGCTAAACCATTATTCAATGATTTATCTTTCAACCGCTTATTTTTGGTCAGTAAAAACGAACACACCACGTGGCTATTAATCGGAGTATTATTACAAAACCAAAGGTATATTTATTTTAAAAATTGCTTAATGCGTTGCACCGTTAAGTCGTCCACTGGATATTCGACACGACAATTTTATGTAATTTGTACAACAGCTGGATATTTTACCGAAATTTAGTGTAAACGCCATAATGACGGGTATTAGAGCAGAGTCCTTCTGTCACCCTGCTGTGTGATTGTCATGTGGTAATGTAGTACTTTTATGCTAGTTGTAAAATTATTGGACTGTATAAACATATGAAATATATCTGTTATTTAGTAAGTGATTAATCGTGTGTGTATGTAGACTACAGCAAATTACACGCGCATGAATCTGCATTAATAACGTGTATTATCAGACGAAAACAATGGGTATAATATATGGATGGTAATATCTGGACAAGTAATGTAGTCATTTATGAATAATTGCACCTGTTGCTTGTAACAGTACCTAATACCTCACACTAGGTGGCGTGCTGTTCCCTTTTGTGTGTAAGAAGTAATGCAAACCTTATCTGCAGGGAGAAGTTGGGGTCTGGCTGAATGTACGTAATGAATCTTTAAATGGCGTATTTTACAGTAGTGCGACCCTTGTGATCACGATTTAACAACGAGGCGCCCGTGAACAGGCGATAGGTAAGTGACTTTTTAAAGCCCCATGAGGCCCGTGAGGCTGTCACGCACATCACCCTTCCCCGGGACACTAGGGCTAGGGGGTTGTCTGCACAATTGTCGGAGGTTTAAATAGTCATGCAAGGTGCCGACGTTTCTGTGTCAGTAGACTGCTTTCCAACTTGCATTTCATCAGATGCCGAGCTGAGGATTTACCTCAGTTTTTTCTTTATTGCGTCGTTTTTGTAATCGATTATGCGCAGAATTTCAGAATTGCAACATGAAATGTAAAATTGCACACCGTGATGAAATACTGTGAAATGCTACTCTATACACCGCATTTCGTTAATCATTACTGTAAATTACCACATGAAACGTGTTTATATTTAATAAAGTGCATCAACAGATTTAAGTTAAATACAAAAAGTTTACGCTTCAGATAATCTGCTCTCAGGGGTCCTGTCTCTGGATGCAATCGCGCAGTAATAATAACCATCGCATTTTCTCAATAGTGCATGAAGTATATGCGTTTAAGTGCAATTTTACACCTATACTGGAGTTAACACCCACTTTTGGACTGCCTCGGTACACATCTTCCCATCTGGTGATGGATCGATTTCCTAATGAGAAACGACGAGTGTCGTAGCTCTCTCATGAACTTTAGATTTAACAAAAAGCTGCACCAGTGAACCTCGCTAACCGTAGAACTGCAATAGTTTTCAGGATTTAGGATGAAAGGGGGCATTAAATAACTAATGTTTGTGAATCAGTGAATGATGGGATATGATAACTATCAGTGGATGAGTTAGTACGCAGAGAACGAATGAATTAAAGAAAGGAGAGGAGTAACACGGAGTGACTGCCACATGGGAGTGAGGGGACGGCCGGGGCTTTACGCGGAGCCCAGCCTCGCCTTCTCCTTTGTCTGATGTCTACCAGGATATGCTTCTGCCTTGATGTTTGGGAGATGAAGATAAAACAGAGATCGGCTCGATCCATGCAGTTGGGGGTGGTAAGCCCCCCGCCCGCCCGCCATTATTCCCGGCATAAACATGTTGTGTTCCGTAAATAATTGATAAGCACTCTAGGCAAATGGAGCGCTTTCCGCCCATTATTATGGTTTTATTAGCACATCTGCGGCCATCGCTGTTATTAAATAGCAACGCACAGCCGCACTCGTGTCGGTAACTTGCTCCGTTAACCAGAGCCAGTTATATGAGTATTTATATGTACAGCTGCTGAGCGGGATGGGTGATCAGAGCATTGTGTGGTATGTTTGCCTTCACCAGGACTGTGAGTTCACTTTTAGGTCTGTTTGAGAAAGAAAAATGGTTAATCCCTCAGTGCATCCTGCAGTCTCCCCTCACAAACAGACACACACACACACAGGTTCAAGCTACATGGAAGCTGATTAACAGTGTGCATTAATAAGGGCGTGTGAGGCGCAGTGCTGAGACTCATTGTGCTGGTCCGCTGCTGTGGTGTACGCTATGCTGGGAACTGCTTTCACAGGGTATGCACCCCTTGGGCAGGGGTTTGGGGGGGGGGGTACTGCTGGGGATACAAAAGGCCCAGTGTTCCTCTACTCTGTGTGTGTGTGTGTGTGTGTGTGTGTGTGCATGTGTGTGGAAAAACCATAAGGTGACAACAGCTTTGCGTGGGATGTGGCCTTTCTGTCACACATTCACGGGCACACATACAGACTGAAACACAAACTCTCGCGCTCTTTAGTCCACTGACTGCGGTCCTGCTCATATCCAGATGCCTTTCCTGATGTGTTGCATTCCTCACCTAGTTAAGCTGTAACCAGATGATTAATATAGTAACCATTTGACTCTTTGATGTCTGTTTTTTTCTTTTCTTACCTCTATGAATAGCAGCATTCCTGTGCTGTGTGCTCAGCGGATACGTGAGCCTGTGTGTACAGAGCGTGTTTTTGCTCGGATGGGTGTATTGGCGAAATGGGCGTGGCTCAGTTTCCCATGTGACTTCAGGTGTGTGCAGGTCATTGCTTGAAACTGTCCCCCTAAAAGCAACTGTAGAAGAATAGACATCAACAAAAAACAAAACGCCTGTTTAAGCAACTTCACCTACAGATATCTAAGAATCTACAAGTACCAGAATGTTTTTGCCTTTCATCAGTTTTATCTGGACTGAGGTTAGGAATCGTTAATTTTGTTTAATTGAGAGTCAATGGTGAGTTTGTACAAAGACGGGCAGACAGATGTGAAAGTGTGTGTGTTCGTTTGATGAGTTGCAGAGTAATGTTGACTCAGTAAAATGTGTGGCAGGGATGCAAAGTCCTTCCTGCTTATTCCTGTGACACAGACACACACACACACACACACACACACACACACAGCTGTCGTATATCAGCTCAAGCCCCATCAGGCCGGTCCAGTGTGTCACACAGTAAATATCAGCCTGGGCTAGAACTTCAGACCAGCGTTCTACAGTAGAATCGAACAGCATGGGATTTACAGCTTGGTTGTTTAAAGGGACGGCACATCGCGGTCTCTAGCATTCTCATGCCAGCTTGGATCGGGTGTCCAGCATTGAATTTGCAGTGGAAACTAGACCCATGGAAATGTCTGCAAAACCTGGTCAACGCTTGGCAGACCGACACTGGCAGTACATGTGTGAAAGTGTGAGGGAGTGTGTTTGTGCATGACATACAGTATGTGTATATATGTGTGTATGTGTGTGTGTGTGTGTGTGTGTGTTCAGTGCAGTGCTGACAGTGTTTGAAATTCAGACCGGTGAGTCAGCTTTCCCATAATCCATAGTGTGTGGGGTGCACTCAGAGAAGGCAGGTCCAATTCTTATCTGAAGTGATCAGCCAATCAGAGTATACTTCCTGTGTTTCCAAGGGCCTATAGAATCATGGCGTTTGGAGGATGGCCGCGAGGGCGAGGGGTCTACTCTATCATTCATCAGAAGTTCAGAACACATCGCCTTTTTCTCACATCAGCCTCGGAGTTTGCTGTTATTAACCGAGTACCTCAGGCTGCAGTCTAATAAACCATTTTTAGCTCTGTTAGAGGACAGTTGCGTGAAGCAGCATTTGTTTTAGTACTTTAATGAATTGCATATTCATTCAGAAGAAAGTTTAACACATTACAGATTATAGTAGCAACCAGCTGTGATTGTAGTGTGAGGTTCCCAGGCAGGGTGGGAGGGGGCAATGTCTAAGTATGCAGCTACTTTACTGTGTAGCCTTGACTGTTTAACAAGCAAAATCGGGCTAAAAAACATTATTTAAAAGAAGAATCCTCAGCTGTGTCTGATCTCTGTCTGCCTGTCTGTCTCTGTCTAGCTTTGCGGTGAGGATTTGCCATGTGTGGCCCTATTACATAGCCCTCCGTGCTCAAAAACAACAGCTCATGCTGCACCATGCCCAGTTACCATAGCAACAAGGGGCACCGAGGGGACGCCAAGTGGGCCACGGACTGAACCGGCCCCAGCCAGACAGAGTGGAGCCATGCACCAGCTCTTCGGCCTGGTGCTGAGCCAGAGGAACCTGTCCCGGGCAGGTGACCTGTTTTCCTTGGAGGATGCCGAGATCGAGGATTCCCTCTCTCAGGCTCTGGAGGAGATCAAGGCCATATCGTGCTCTCCGGTGTGGACCCCCCCGCCAACCAACTCCCATCAAACCCCAGTTCACTCCACCTGCCTTCATTTCCCACAATGCAGTTTCCCAGCATGCCTTATTCAGTTGAGGCACACTGCAGTTTCTCAGCATGCCTTATTCAGTTGAGGCACACTGCAGTTTCCCAGCATGCCTTATTCAGTTGAGGCACACTGCAGTTTCTCAGCATGCCTTATTCAGTTGAGGCACACTGCAGTTTCCCAGCATGCCTTATTCAGTTGAGGCACACTGCAGTTTCCCAGCATCCCAAAGGCCCCAGGAGGATATAAAGCACTTTCTTAGTCCACTACATGCAGAACTCCAGTATATTCCCAAATTAGCACCTTTTGTGTGCCATTTTAGCTGTTATCTCGTTGCTTTTCATCCTTGTCCATGCTGAGCAGTTTTTTCGTTTGCTTCAGAGATGAGCTTCAGAATTCGCCAGCATTCCCTACAGTTCAAGTTCTCATTTCTCATGCAGTTTTATTTATGGGACAAAAACTGCAGCCATTAAGCTGCCATCAAATTAAATATTTAAAATTCATAAGAGCATTGAAATTAATGAAATGCTGAAGGGTTATTTTCAGTAAATCATGACTTTTAGAATCAAATTTATCATTTATCATTTACTGCATCTAACATTTTGTACGCACCGCTAAGGTAAACTAACTGAGAGGTGGCTTGTATGATATGGGCTACCCTCACAGTCACAGGAACAGAAAACATGCACTGGCCCTTTAAGAAAACCAAAATGAAGGGTCAGGTGATGACATTTTTAGGCTTTTGCTCTGTTTTATCCAAGCTGGTTATACTGGCTGATAATCAAATAGCAAGTGAGAGCGATGTGAGTGTTGTTCACAGTAAAACTGATGCAGACACAGGCCATCATTTTAACACATCCAAAGCCTACTCTCTGTGTTATCATATCAGTTTCTGTCGCATATTCCAATTCCTAATTACATGCTTTTGCCTAATAATATGGTGAGAGAATGTGTGACATGTGACAGCAGAACCAAACCCTCTGACTCACACCTGGTTCTTGATTTGTTGGCGGTAGGACTACCTGACCAACGACAACGACCAGGCAGTGGTGGAGATCTGCATCACGCGCATTACCACGGCCATCCGAGAGACACGCTCCATCGAGAGACATGGTGCCGCCTTGGTGTCCCTCTGGGAGTCGTGCCTGGAGCACAATCAGCAACCACAGGGCAAGGACGAGGACACCCCTCACGCCAAGATCGCCTCTGACATCACCAGCTGCATCCTGCAGGTTGGATGCTTAGGGGCGCCAATGATATGCCGCTCACTCCCCTGGTCTGAGGTCATCACTCATGGCACAGTCACGCCCCTATGTGTCACTCCAGGTCACCCCTGGCATAAACACATTGTTTTCTGCCAGTCTGGATCACCCTGTCACTCCATTAATAACTGAAACTCGCCCATAGAGATGCAGCAGAAAAGCCATAATATCTTTCTCGATTTACTCAGTCTGCCGTCTTGCAGACCGCTGATCTCTAAACATGATAATGTGGGACAAACGGCTTAAGAAGTGAGAGAGGGGTTAAGCGGCTTTTATACTGTCCTCATCGCTTAAAATCCACATGATGATGCCTTTCTTTATGGTTTCCTGCTCCTCATTTAGAGCATACCTTACTGCGTGAGACCCCATGTCCGCCGTCATTCCCCAATCTCCTTCCTGCGCTCCTGTGGTCTACAAAGATGGATACATCTTGGCTAGCCGGGAAACCCAGGCTTAATTAGACCGCCACAGATTGTACCGAGAGTTTTGTCAAATGGCTCACTGCTTCTGAGCTATTTGTGGAGCCTTTGATCTGAGTTAGAGGCCTGATGTGGTCTGATCTGTTTTTTTGGCAATCTGAACACCTTGGGGGTATCTACTGTTTTATACAAGTGGGGAGATTCACCCACAGTGCCCCCTGTTGGATGTGAGAGGAATTATATCTGTTCAAGCTGGATTGAGAGTAGCAGTGTTGTTTTCGCGTGGATGGTGTGAATAGAATCATCGGCACCGGTGGCTTTAGTGCTATAAGTGTTTCGTAGCCATAGTGACGGTACATAAGTCAGCCTAATTGGTTGAGCGAGTGTCATAAGCTGTGAGCTTTCTGTATATTCCCATGGTCCACACTAGGGGGCACTAAAGCATTTAAAATAGCTCACCACAGACATAAGCACATGCCAGTACGCAAAGCAGGGACATGCACTGCGTGGGCAGTTAGTGCCTTGCTTTAGTCTGTACCTGTGTCATCTCTTTCAGACCCTGTCCTGATGTGACCCCTCACCCTACCCCAGTCTTCCTGAGTAGGGGTCTTGTTAATTTACTTACAGAGCCTCGCTTTCACACGTTTCAGTCTAGCAGCAGGCTTATGAGGGGGCCTGTAAAGGAATATTCTCCCATAATCCTTTGGAACATGATAAAGTCTTTTAAATATTTCGATATCTGTCTGAGGGGAGCAGAGACTGGCTTCTTCCGCGTTGAGATTTGGACAGACGAAATGTGTTTGGAAGGACAGGCTGCTGTACAAATAACTTCAGGAGTGATTTTGATGGGTGTTGCCCACTCTGTGCCCCCCCACAGAATTACGACCGCCCTCCCGTGATGGCCCTGGCTGTGCCCGTGGCAGTCCGATTCCTCCAGGGCGGGAACAGAGAGCTGTCCCGCAACATGTCCAGTTACCTGTCCCTGGCAGCCATTAGCAAGGCGGAGCTGCTGGCTGAGCACACGGAGGCCATCGTGCGCGCTGTCCTGGGAGGTGAGAGACAGGGCTGGAGAAGTGCCTGGATGGGCAGGTAGGAGGGTACCTATATGGGCAGGAATGAGGGTACCTATATGGGCAGGAATGAGGGTACCTATATGGGCAGGAATGAGGGTGAATATATGGGCAGGTAGGAGGGTACCTACATGGGCAGGAATGAGGGTGAATATATGGGCAGGTAGGAGGGTACCTACATGGGCAGGAATGAGGGTACCTATATGGGCAGGTAGGAGGGTACCTACATGGGCAGGAATGAGGGTGCCTACATGGGCAGGTAGGAGGGTACCTACATGGGCAGGAATGAGGGTACCTACATGGGCAGGAATGAGGGTACCTACATGGGCAGGAATGAGGGTGCCTACATGGGCAGGTAGGAGGGTACCTACATGGGCAGGTAGGAGGGTACCTACATGGGCAGGTAGGAGGGTGCCTACATGGGCAGGTAGGAGGGTACCTACATGGGCAGGAATGAGGGTACCTACATGGGCAGG